GCAGCAAGAAAAGATGTAAGAAAAGGAAAGAGGCAGCTAGGAGTAAAATAACTCAGGACAGAGCAAGACACTATTGCTTCAGTAAATTAGAAGTTACTATCTCCAAAAGTAACTTTTAAGTATTTTAAAATGTTCTAAAACACTCTTAAAATTCATCTGTGTAACCCTAACACACGTGAGGATTTTCAAAAAGACAGAAAGTGCAGTACCCACAGCTATTAGCTTCACACAGGACAATACAAATATTCAAACATTAATTAACAGGATTACATTGAAAATCAATTTTCAGCACTGTCGTTAGTCAAATACTCTGTGTCTCTATTATTTCTGTAAGGTAAAGAAGGACTCATACAAGAACACTGGAAATTTTAGACCTACTGAATTACTTTGTCTTAGAAGTAGTAAGAAAACTGGACACTATTATAGCATCCCAAGCCAGTAACTTTGAAGTGACCTAGTAAGCTGTAGTATTTCCTGCATCTCAGCCTGCACAATGCAACTTTATTACTTTAAGTCTCCATTTCAGTAGAATCCATAATCAAACATGTAACTGCATAAGTCAAACCATGAATACCAACAGTCTATGGGGTAGCTAGCTTCAATAAATGGTCAATAAATACATTACTATGTGATACAGCCTTCATGGGCTGGTGGTTCATAACACTGATAGTTCAAGCATGACCCCTTTAGTCAAGCCTCAGTGATCATCTGTGGAGAAGCAATCACAAACAATACCTAATTCAATTTTAAATACCATTGTCAGTTGTAATGCTAGGAATCAGCAGGGAAAAAAATTTTGATTGCTAACTTAGCAAAACAGAATCAGTGGTGAAGACGTGGAGCTCTGATATTTTTACAGGATCATTCCTCAGTATAAAGCTTTATGAAATTGATAAAGAGCTGACGTGTGGATAGAGCTTATTAAGTAGCCCCTCTTGCCATCTTGAACATATAAAGTCTTTACTCTTACTTCCTGGCTTTATAAGTTACTTTTGTTTAAAAAGAACTTTTTTTCCCCATCTCAGATAATGAAAGTCTATTTACTAGCCTAACTCAAGCTAAAAAGTTGGGTTCTGGAAATTTAATATTTTAAGAAACTCAGAAATTCTTATTCTTTAAAAGTGATAAATTACTTCTGCACAAAAAAAAAAAAAAATCTATCCAGACTGCTTTATATTTCCTCTTCAGAAAACAGACTGTTCCATTACCAAGTAAAAGGATATTTATCTGTCAAATAAAGTGAAAGCCAATATTCTAGTAACTTTCACCAACTTGTCCATACTTGTCAACCCCTCGTAATAAAAGGAACTTTACATTTTACAGGGCATACACATCATTTTGTGGATTATTTGCTTCAAGAATCCTTCTTTCTTCCATGAAGAACAGTCCTTCTGCTCACATATACAGTAGCACATATAAATTCTCACAAAAACTTGGTTTCCATATTCTTATTCCAAGATGCAGCTCCTAAAAAGGCACCACATATGCAAAGTATTCCATTACCTACAATCACTAAGGGTGGCTCTGAAGTTTGGTTTTTTTTGGGTATTCCTAATCAAATCCCAATGTGGCTGAAGGTGAAAATATCCTTCATTTCAACATGAAGGTCACTGAAACTGGTGCTTAAAGTAGTAAGAGTCCACAATAGATTAGAAAGAAAAGGAAGAAATAGTTTTTCCACAACACATCCCATAAACCCTGTGAGAATGCTGGTTCACTGTTACAACTGTGCTTGCTGATAAATTCCACATGAAAACAACTTTTTTTTTTTTGACATAGAGATACCACCAGAGTTTATTTCTTGATGGATAGTCAAAAACAATCAAAAATAGGGACATCATGAAATACTGACTTAAAGAGATATTTGAGGAAGCCTGCAGTCTATTTCAGAAAGAAGGAAAAAAAAGAATCATGCTACCTCTTAGCAATAACTCAAAGGCTGCGTACAAAAAAAAAACCCAAGCAGTAAAATTAAGACTAGTGAACTTTAAAAATGTCCAGAAGAAATGAAGTCCCTGATTTAAAGGCTTCATGCTTCCTAGTGCAAAAACGGGTTTGTAGCTTGAAGGCAGTTAAAGCAGAAATCCCCTTCCTGAGACTCCATCCAAGCTAGAATGCTCTGGGTGGTTCTAACTCAACCCTTAGTGGCGCTTCAGATGGTTGTGATGGAAACATCCCTGAGGCTGGCAACAGGAGCTATTCTGCTTGAGACTGAATGCACCTTAACATCACCTTCTAGTTTCAGGCCAGCCAGGTCAGACTAATACTTAGTGCAAAACAATCAGCCATTAAAACTTAGGAACAGCTTTGTCAAGTAAGTTAGTGTCAAATAAATAGGAAAGTAGCACTTAGTGCAAAACAATCGGCCAGTAGAACAGGGTACTCTTAGGAACAGCTTTGCCAAGTGAGTTAGTGTCAAATAAATAGGAAAGTAGTTGTCTAAGTATTTCAATCTACTCCAAGGACCTTTTATGGTCATATGTAAGGAGATGGGATAACTCAGGCACAGAAAAATAAATACAGCTTGGAACAGGCCCTTAAAAATTACTTTCTGCTACTGTCTAAAGTTATTGCAGATGATTAAAAAACATAACCCACCTTTGGGGGGTCAGTGGCGTGGGGAGGGACTATTAAATCACTTTAAACCTTTAGAGGCTCAAATCCCTGCCTACAAGAAAAAAACTACTTCCATATGAGGTCCTTTAGCTAAGAATGTAGGAACCACATTCCTATGGGCTTGCTCCCCGCAATTACCTGAATTATGGCAGGCTTACCAATGGGAAGATGCATTTGTGCTGGGATGAATTAACCCAAATGGTCAATATAAATAGTTATACCTCTGAAGCAACCCAAGCAATGTTAAGTATGTAGGAGCCCCCTTGATATTAAAACAAGGTCATAGAATCACAGAATTGTTTTGGCTGGAAAAGACCTTTAAAGATCATCAGGTCCAACCATTAATCTAACATTACCAAGACCAGCACTAAACAGTGTCCCTAAGCACTTCATCTACACATCTTTTCAACACCTCCAGGGATGGGGACTCCACCATCATAAACCATTATTAACTACTATACATCAACAGAACCAGAATAGAAACTTCTAACAAAATAAGGGACCAACTTCTATAACAATGATTAGAACTGAACTTGCAGCTTGGTGATCATAGTTATAGAGATCCTCAGGTAAAACCCAGAATAAGATAAACTCTCATATTTTCTACTATAGTTCAAGTTCATGATCACCAGTTTTTATAGGAAATTATCAGTTTCCTGACCAAGAACATCCAGATTTTAACAGAAAACCAAAAAAAAAAACCAACCTGTAGTTCAACAGCTTCAAAATACCTCACTTTAAGAGTGCAGAGACACTTCACCAAAACAGTTGCAAGCTGACACTTATCTTTGACTCTATTTTTGCTTGCATGTTTCTGAAAACGTGATGGAAATCAAGCAGTTTATGCTGGAATTTAATCCCAAATATTGTAGTGTTTTATCATCACCATTTACATGCTGATATTGCAATAGCAAAATACTGCATTTCACATGTAAAAGGAAAAATCAGTTAGTAAGAATAAGGAGGGGTACACACCCATTACTTGGCTGGAATTCTTTGAAGCACTTGAACAGTTCATCTTAGAAGCAGACTAACAAGAATATAGGATAAAGTATATGCCTGCCTTTATGAGGGAATTGCTACCCCTGCCCCAAGGGATTTTCATAAAATAGCTTCTAATGATGCTTTGCTTATCCAGCAAGCCAGAGCCATACATTAAAAGTAAATATTAGGCCAACAAGAAAATACAGGTGAACATAGACAATCTGCAGAGACAACTGCTTTCAGAGCACTACATTTACTTCATATTATTGCAATAAAAGTGGAAAGGATGTGAAAGTAATTAATTGACACACATCATATTTAGGGCACTTCAATCTCTCAGCAGTGTAGGATTAATAACTTTATGCTTATTAAAGTACTCAATATTATTTATGTCACAGCAGTGCCCAGAGGCCCCAGCTGAGATTGAGGCCTCTTGAGTGGAGTGCTAGAAAATCATTATCACATTGACTTGAAGAATTCCCTTTTAATTTATCTTTTTTTTTATTAAGCACATATGTTTTGTATAACCCAAATTACTACCTTTATATGCTTTACTAAGGTTTTTGTTGTTTGGCTCATGTTTGGTTTTAACATCAGAAAGAAGCACACCACATTTTTTTAAACACAAAGACACAAGTTGAGCATCCCTGTTTCAGGGCTATGCTCTTCTCCCTGCCTTTCAGGCCATTGGGTCTAGACACACAGATGTTCCTTCATTTATCAGTACCTGTATAAAGAGGTTTGTAGGACTGGATTGCTCTCTCACCTTCTACAGAAGAAAACCCCAAACCAAATCCTAGGATTAGTAAGTCTGTGGGAATTCTGAATCTAAGTAGCAAAATGATGTGGTACAAATTAGCAGGCTTTCAAAATTCTCATTAAAATCAAACTGAGCATTAAAGGTCACACGAAACAAGCAGAATCTGCATAAACTTCTCAGAGGCATTATTCACAGAATTACAGAATCATTATGGTTGGAAAGGACCTTCAAGATCATCAAGTCTAACCATTTCTAACTCTAGCAGGCCACTTACAAGCCATATCCCTCAGCACCTTATCTAGACAGCTTTTAATTCTTACCACATCTTACCAAATTGCAAAGCTTCACTTCATTCTATTAAAGAAGAAAGTACTCCACCTGAGTTCTGAGCCCTAAGGTTCTACCTTCAATGAACAGAAGAATCTAAAGCACAGTACAGCCATTCCAGTACTCTTCTAGAGTCAACAGTAATGCCCATTAATGAAATAAATATTTTACAAAAGAAAGAAAAACACTTCAAAGTTTCCTTTTACAAGTTATCTTATTTGCTATATACCTCAAAGATGTTTGTGAGGCTCTAGAAGCAGACTTCACAACTGGAAATAAATCTGAAAAAAGTAAACTTTAACAAGTTACTTACTGTAAATTTGCTACTTTTACTGATACAGGAATGTGGGGAAGTTGAGTGGCCCATTTCAGCGTAACATCCTGATAAACATTCAACATTTTACTATGGTTTCCAATCAGAGTGTTTATTGTTCCTTCCTTCACTGTTAAAGATATAAAAACAGTTTTAAGATGAAAGATTTTCAAAAGCCAGTACTTTTATTTGAGGCTTCTATCATCAAACTATTTTTTCATTTCCTTTTGAGCCATTACTCGCTATAAGTGAATTTAATATAATTAAAGTGTCAAAAGTTATGAAAGTTACATTGCCAATAATCAAGGACATATGTGATTAATTATGGATACCACTCTCAATTGCATACTACACAACACATGCCACAACTTTGCAAGATCCTAGCTGGCCATGTTTGGTAACTTAAAACCCAACAAAGACTCATAATTAGCATGTTTACATGCCAGGATAGACATGACTAAATAAATACCAGTTAAATATCAATTGCTTATATTCTTTATTAATTCATTGACTTGTGAGCATTGATTAAAGGTATATGCATTCAGAGGTTTAATTTATAGTAGAATTTAAATCAGAAAGCATAAAATGTGAAAATTGTTATTATAATATTTATAAAGTCTAAAATTATATTTTAAGTCTAAAATAAGACATGGTGACAAAAATTTATCAGATATGTTTTGAAACACTAATACAGAATAAACATTAAGATTCTGTAGTTCTGTAGTGGCATCCAACCAAGTTGCTTCCACACAATGTAAGAAATTAGTTTCATCTTCCAAGAGTAAACTTTATTTGATTTTTTAAACTGTAAGTAAATGACAGAAGGTCCTTAAAAACTTGTTCACTCTTCCGAAATCTCTTATTCTACCATTTTCTTTAGTAGCCTGGGCAAGCTTACTCAACCACAAGTACTTCCATTTGGTGATGAGAAAGTATCTATTTAGAATCTAAAAATTATGACACTTCACATTAAGTAACAGTTTAAAATAAAACTGCTTCATCCAAAAAGAGAGCTCCAATTCCACAGATTTTCTACAAGTCAACAGCTTATTCAGAAAAATTTATTTATTCAGTGGAAAAAAAAAAAAACACAAACACACACCTTAGTTGTAAAAGTAACCAAGCTAAAGAGAAGCTGAATTTTCCTTTTACAAACCTGAACAATAAGGAATGAAGCAGCTTGGACTGTAATCGAGCTTTTTCATGAACCGAATTTGTCCATTATCCTTAAGGCAAAAGAAGTTTCTCTCCCCCAGCACAAAAACAGAAGAAACTGCCTGATCAAAGGAGACAACACATATATCCAGTGCTTGCTCTCCGATGTTTAAAACCCAATCCACCTACAAAAGAAAAAACATGCCTCAGAAATCAGTTGGCAGCTGCTTATTAAAGACAAAACTTGGAGAAGGCTCAGAAGCCATCGAGTTATATGAGTATCATTGACATGGATATGAAAGTAAAATCAAAGTCTTTTTTTGAAGGAGAGTTATCATCCTGTTTTGAAGGCAGGCAGTAACTTTCCTTGTGGTGAGTAAAGCAGCAAAAACATCCAGTTTCTGAAATAGTCATGAATTGGTGGCTATCCAGTTCACTTAAGCACTTAAGTACAAGTGAAATGTACTTAAGTACATTTGAACTTTAAAATGCACATTCCATTCAAAATGAAAATGCTTCATATTTTAACTATTAAATCCAAGAACAGAGTATTAGAATGATTTTAACCTGCCTCTATACATGTCCTTAGATATAAGGGCAAGGCCAGAGAGCAAAACGTGATAACTTACTCTAATAAAAGTAACTGGAAAAACAGGCAAAGTTTTAGGTGTGCAATTCAATATTCATGCTCACAGTCACTAATATACACAAACATCTTTCAGATTGAAAGGTGCACGTCATAGCTTGTCCACTTTTCCAACTACATACATTAGTATAAAAAGCAAGTGCTTGCAAATCCTGCCTTGCCTATACCCTTACATCTGCATATTGATACACTTCATTGATTTGTTACTTCAGCTCCTCTGAGAAATTTCAGCTAATTCACACATGCAAAAAGTGCTTTCGACTGCTGCCAAGTTGTTTAAACAGAAATTCAGGAATTTCTGAAGTAAAAAAAAGATGAAGTCAGCACTTCCTATAGGAACAGCATCAATTGTTTTGCTTAAAAACATAGACTGTGTTAGTAAACAAACTGGCATATCTGATACATGAAGCTGGAATTGCAACCTTAGAACTCAAAGGGAAAAAAGCCAGTCTTATTATATTTCTCTCCATGTATGCTTCTCATCTTGGATTAAAAAAAGTATATGGAATTTGTAGCATATTTTATGAAGCTTACAATTTTCTTACTTAAAAGCTACATCATCTTCTAATTCAAAATGTAGGATTCTGACTGATATAGTTTGAAAAAAATTCTATGATTAGCCATTGGGATGAAGATGCTCTACCAATATTTTCCTTTCATACGTGAAATTTGCTGAATCTAGCATTTTACACAGTATATTCAGCAGACAAGCAATTCTACTGCAGGACCATGGAGAATTAATTTTTCTTCCTCTTAACATGAGGCAGCTCAAGTATTAAACAACTCAGGCACAGGGTCCTCCTGAAGAAAAATGAATCCACAGGCTTTTGACAAAAAAAAAGTACAAGATGCTATTTGTGGAAACAGTTTTCTTAAGTACAAAGGACTCCCCAAGTAGAATGAGGTTAACTTTTTAAGTCCAACACAAAGATACAAATAGATCTAAACTAATAACATGAGCAATTTCAGGTGTATTTTACTACAGTTTAGGTCCTGTATTACAAATACTCCTTAGAAACAGTTATTTCTAGTACACAGTTCTTTTTTTTCTTCTCTCCTTAGAACAACAGTGAGTTTTAAGGCCCAGACTTAAACAATTGAGGTCCAAAGAAATTTTAACAGAAATCTACTGGAGCCTTTCCATTGCCTTTAATGGCAATTGGATCAGGTCCTTTGTCAGCAGACAATGTTTCCATTTGTTACTTAGCATTGATCTTCTTAACATGTATGCAGTGTACCATACTTGTTATGTAAAATAAACAGGTTTTACCACAAGTTTTTTCCCTGAACTAAGTTTTTGCTGCTCTTTTTCTTGTCTTTCATCAGCATCTGTTGCAAATGCCAGCACATGGTATCTGTTATAGGAAGTAAAAGAAGAATCTTTGTAGTTAATACACATACATTAAATAAGAAATAATTATTATGAGTATACATACACAGTAAAAGCACAGTCTAAAAGGATTGTTAAAAATCCTGCTGCAATATGTCTGTCAAAGATGTTAAGATAAATACCACTGCAGGATACCAGCTAAGTGTAAAAGCAAAAATTAATAAAACATTGCTATTCAGATTTTATCTGGCATTAAAAGAAATTCAACAGCTAAAGATATTAAAGGGTACAAATTTAGACCATAAAGAAGCAAGAAACCAGCATATTTTCAATTTGTGAAAATAGAATTCTAATAAAAATTATCTTTATTGATCTTATTAAGCTTTTATAAAACCCTCTTAAACTACCCTGACATAGAATCTCCTATATGTGATAACTACACTCTCAAGCATACCCCTTCAGTAACCTGTGTGGTTCCAATCCAAGAGACACCAGTAAAAATGGCACCAGTAGGTGACAGATCTAGCACGAGATGGGAGGTTTGTGGGTTTGGGTTATTATTTTGTAACTGCCAACCAACCAGAAGAAAAACTGGCAGTGAAGACAGACTAGAAACTACACGTGACTGCTTTTAATTTCTTTACATGCTAAATGATAGCACCAAAACATGCCATAATTACTCAACAGGAACACATACTTGTAACTCTCAACCTGTCGACAAGAAGACACTGTAATGAAGGAATCTGTCCGAGCGCTGTAAGCCAAGGGCCCAGGCAGGAGAAATCCAGGTAAAAAACGGCCAAAGGCATAACTCTCCTGCTCAAACAACATGAGCATCCCATCCATGGACTGTATGCATATCAAATCTCGACCTAAGGAAAGCAAAATACAAAGGAAACAAACCAATGTTGTTTGCGTAGTTTTAGTGCTCAAGTTATTAATAAATTAAATTTCTACTCATAAAAAAAAAAAAGATGAATTTTAATTTACATGAGTATTTACGAAGAGGAAGAACATTAACTATTCCGACCTCAATAATAGCTTACTTACTAAAATAAACTAGATTTTGGAAGGAATACCTTCAGAATATATGAAGAGAAAAATAAAGTGTTAGATGTTTTATTTCAAACCAAAATTCCTACAGATACAACCATTATAATTTCAGTGTAAAGAAATGTTTCAGTATTCCCAAAACCCCAAACTATTCTGGTTCCTAAATGCCTCTATAGATTACAAGCAGTCACAACAGCTGCAGTTTAAAAATAAGCTAGTCTACTCTTTCATGTCTACTCAAGCAACATAACAAAAAGTCCTGCAAATATCTCTTGTTGTCAAACTAGCCCCATAGTAATATTTCCCACACTTTGCATTCACATTTTCTGTCTTCAGGATAAAACAAAAACAGGTCCAAAAACTGAACTAAATTCACAGTCTCATTTGGAAGACTTCTGAGATTAGAAGCTGATTATGCAGTTTGCATTTCATATGCAGGAGTAACAATGCAAACAAATTCAAGCAGAGCTATACCAGTAAGACTAATACCTTCTGTAGTTGATAGAAGTATCTCTCCTGAACCCAGAGATAAGCCACTATCTTGCAAACACAATATGAAATATTTATAAATTCAAAATGTCTGTTCAACTCAATTAAAATACTCCTCTGTGTCTCAGGAATTATTCTCTGTGCATGGAGGACCCAAACAAACTGTTTACTAAGCTCCACTCTCAGTCCTTTGTGAATTGCTTTCTAACAGAAAGTTGAAGCAAAACAAAAATTGACTAAACTTTCATTGTTAACACTCGGATAAAGGTTACAAAGGTCAAAAGAGATACTCAGTATCTGAAAAAGTAACAAATGTAAAGTACAGCCCAAAATATTGTTAGTTCCCACTGTGATTCTTCATAGAAACTAACTACTTAAAAATAAATAGCAGTGTAACGGCCAGCAGTGCATCATTTCACTTGTCCTTGTGATAAAGTATACAATAAAAAATTAGCTAAGGATAAAAACAGAAGAAGAAAAAAGGAAGGCAAAGCACCTGGGTCCTTTCCACTTGCCCTCCCTGATCTCTTTTTCAGATTTTCCCTTTCTCATAATCAAGTTCTCCCCTCCTTTTTTCCAGATTCTGCATGGAATTCACTGCATGGGTCTACAAACCCTGTTGGAAATATCAATCCTTTGATAGGAAGGACATGTGAAAGCATAATTAATGTTCCTTTGGTAGAGGCAAAGTTGAATATTTTGGTCTTTAGCGAAAAAGTTTAAATTCTTCCATCCTTCACACCACTGATGATACAGATAGATGTGCAGAACACATCCAGCAGTGTAATTTCTGGAACACTGAGGGCATTTCAAGCACATAATCACAACAGCTGTTTCTTCCCTTATGTTCTACACGGACCTTTTCTGAAAACCTGCCTTAAAGGTAATTCTTTTGTTGGTTTGGCCTGTTTGAGAACTAGAGTGCACACATTTTGAGGGATAACATTAACTGAAAATACTTACATTTTGATTTACCAAGGTAGTAATAGCATTTCCAACTAATAAATAAACTAAAATCTAGAAAATACTTTTATTCTATATTAGAAAAAAAACCTTATTCATTAAACATGAGGGAAGTACTCCATTAAACAAAAATCCCTGGTGGCTTCAAAAAGAAACTTAGCTGAAAACCAATGAAAACTCACCTCCCTAAGGTGAAAAATGACAGAACCTGTACTAATAAACTAGCACGTTATACAAAAGCAATTCAACATGGAAATCATTAAAGTAGTCAGACTTAGATCCTGCCTGATACTGAAGTCAAACCAATATATTTGGTTTTTTTCTAATCCTGCAAGTGAGAAAATTTAAACACATCATCTTTATAGCAGCTCATTAAACTAGTGACCACTTGTCACTAGCAACTTCAGCGTGATGATTTAAGTGTCAAAAGTTTAATCTATAATATTCTGAAGTTTGTGCCACTGCATTGGAAACTTGAAACATTTTAAATGTTTCCTCTTCTGTGCGCAGATTAAAGTCATACATCCTGCTAGGAAATGTAAACTCTTTACCTCTGTTAACAGCAAAACTCAATGAAGAAATGTTTCCTGTGACTAAAGGCAATCATTTTTGAGAGAATTATGGGTCTGACATAGCTCTACAGCAATTGGTCTGTTTAGAAAATGCTTTTGGAGAGCTATGTTTTTCCTAGGATTTTCTACACAGACTTTTTAAATTATAAAGGAGGGTCTGAGCCTTGTGTTCAGCCTTAGAATTTATTGTTTCTAAAATTAGAAACATATTCTACAGCATACTAAACACATTAGATACACAAATATACACACACCTCTTCAATACACAGAATTAGTACATTTCCTCTGAAATTATTTGTATAGAGCATCTTTATTATGTCTTTAGGAGTCATTTACTCTCTTACATATTCTTCAGAGGACAGATTCCAGAATTTATTTATTCATAACTTATAGCTGAGATCCAGCACCTGAAATATGTGGTATTCAAGAAGTTACAGCAACTACTGATCAGAGAGTGAACATTTGGTTTGCTGCTTATCCCGAGCCTCCGAAGAACTAGCCAAGAACACTGTAAAGACTTTACTAACTTAAAATCCAGAAATTGTTGAGGCTGATCTACAAATAAGTACCTTATATGTTTCAGTTACAAGCAAAGCAAGATGCATATATGAATTTGAAAGTTATTTAATAAAAATGTTCCTACAATTCTGAACATCCTGGTTTTCATCACTAGCAGTTGACATTATCAACTATATAAAATTTAAGAAGAAAAATTAAAATTAAAAAATGCATTCATAAAAGAATTGTAGCACCTATACAAGTTCAAACAGCATCACTTGAAGCACACTAAAGCTGTGAGCAGACAAATGAGCCAAGCCAATCTAATGCTTTGCTGCTGCTGGCAGGAGCAGCCCTGCTCACCTCCCTCCCTCTGGGCCTCCAGACCTTGCTTAGGTCACATCATTCTTCCATCTCCTAAGCCAGACCTGGTACTGTTGGCTGTTAGATAGTAGGACACCACCCTGAATTTGTATTTTCTCAAAGAATTTTCAGCCAAGTGAATCATCACCCCACCTGAGTAACTCCACACACGTTTAGGAACTGCTAGGAGCACCATGGAAAGTATCAAGTGTGACATGGCCCTGGGGGTGATGGTTAAGGGTGTGAGGAAGGGCATGAGGTAGACAGTGTGACCTGTGGGCCAACAAGTGGTTGCACAGCAGGTATCTGCAGCAGAGCTTCGTTTTATGACCATGTGGCCCTCTGAGGACTGTCAGATGTCTGTATGAGACAGGATCCTCTGGCTAAATCCAGCACAAGTAGCTTTGCCAACAGGTTTGCCAGTGCAGCAAGAGCAACTTTAAACTAGGGATGATGGGAGGGAGAGATTTTACAACAGTGAGGTGAGGGGGTGAGAGATGGAGTGGGCAAGCAAAAGGCCCTGAGGACTACACAAACCCAAGGGACACAGCAGTTAACAAAAGAGGGCTGCAGTGGAATCACCTCAAGCAGAGGAATCTAAGTAAGGAAGTGCACAGGGAACAGCAGCCTTATGGAAAGAGCTCCCACAGCCTTCTTGACCACCTCTCCAAAGTGCCTCTGCAGGAATGTCCAGAGAACAGGGAAAATCAGGAGGGACTGGAAATCTCTGTGCAGTTACTGGGCAATGACCTCACTTGGATCACAGAGACATGGTGGGCTAGCTCACAGGACTGGAGTGCTAAGATGGATGCATCCAGGCCCTTTAGAAAGGGCAGGCCAGGACACTGATAGGGAGTTGTCCCTTTAGGAAGAGAGCACCTGGAATGCATGGAGTTCTGCCTTGAGACAGGCAGCGAGCCAGTCAGGAGCTCATGGGTCAGGATAATTGAGCAGAGCAATATGAGGATTTGCCATAGGCCACCCAATCAGGAAGACATTGATGAAGCACTGTTCAGAAGCCTTTTCTGAAGCCCTCTTCTGGCAGAAGCCTCATGTCTGGAGGCTCTGGTCCTCATGGAGGGACTTGAATCAACCTGTTATCTCTAGGGACAACTGGATGCAATTCTGGGCAACCTCTAGCTGAACCTGCTTGGGAAGTGGGATTGGACTACATGGCATCAAGAAGAATCAAAGAAGGCATCCTTATCTTTCCTCTCTGATCTACTCCAAGGCATTATGGTAGATATCTGTTCCTCTAGGCTGTGAAACTTCACAGGATTTAGTCCTATCACATACTCCTGATCAGCAAACAGTGGAAACCATTAGAGAAACTTGAGAAGTTTTGCACTGGTATGCTATCAGTGTTAATGATGTTCAGCTTCCATTGCCCAATAGCTGCTGACATTACTATCACACTGCTGATAGAGTCTAGAAAAAGTATAAGTCAGACAGGTGTATAAAATTGAGTAATCAGCTAAAGCACTCTGAGAAACACGAACAAACACTGGTAACTAGTAAAAGGTGCTAGCCCACTGGTTGCCACCACAGTCTTTTAGGTGTAGCTATCTTAAAAGTATAGTTATTGGCTACTAGAAATAACTAGTGGCATTTTTTATTTGGCTTGCAAGAAAATAGTGTTTCATTATCCAGGTGTCCATGTAACCACAGTTATTCCACATCTGCTACCTCAAAATCACATATGTTCACATTCAGAGGCATACTGAATGGGTGATGGTTGAACCTGATGATCTCAGAGGTCTTTTCCAACCTTAATAATTCTACAATTCTATTATTCTACTCAGTTATTCTACTGTTGTGAAAAGTTCTGAATATAGCTTGAGATATCATAAGATTAGAAGTAAAAGCAATTTAATTCTAAATTGAATGGCCTTACACAAAAACTGTTAAGTATTTTGTGATTTAATTAAATTTCA